AGACATATTTTTTGAAGTGCTAGCTCCCGGACTAATACGGTTAGGTCAGAATTTGCCCACATTACAGAATACGTATTTAGGCTGGATTGTTGGGGGTCCAATGCCCAATCAAAATTCGGCAGTCAATTTAACTGTTAATTTATTGTCGCAAACACAGACTGTTGAAGAATTAATTCCAAGGTTTTGGCAGTTAGAGGTAATAACATCTGAATTAGTTATGTCACCGGAAGACAAGCAGTGTGAAGAAAACTTTTTAAAATCCGTTCAACACACTGAAATGGGTACGTTCCAAGTAGACCTGCCATTTAAGAACGAAAACGGCTATCTCAAATTAGGAGATTCCTATGAATTTGCATCTCGCAGATTTTTCGCCTTAGAAAAACGATTTTCCCATGATCAAAATTTATTTTTACAATATAAGAAATTCATTGACGAATACGTAGACTTAGGCCATGCAAGTTATGTTCCGTTTCAAACTACGCTATCAGCAAACATTCATAAATATTTTTTGCCTCATCACTGCGTAATTCGCGAGTCAAACTCTACTACTAAGTTAAGAGTAGTGTTTGACGGATCTATGAAAACCACGACAGGACTTTCGTTAAACGACATTATGCTCAAAGGGTTGACGGTTCAACCGGAATTATTTGACATTCTCATTAGATTTCGCACCTTTAAGTTTGCAGTAACAGCAGACATACAAAAAATTTATAGATGCATAGAAATAAATCCTCGACAACGTTTTCTTCAAAACGTATTATGGAGAGATGACCCGAAAGGTCAATTAAGATGCTTGCAGCTTAACACAGTAACGTATGGCACCAATCGTGCTCCATTTTTAGCCACTAGGTGTTTGTCATATTTAGCGCAGAATGAAAGTACAACTTACCCCTTGGCTTCAAAGGCCATTTTATCACAATGCTATGTCGATGACATTTTAATGGGAGCAAATTCAGTTCAGGAGGGAACTCGACTTATAGGTGAACTTAAACAAATGTTAGAGCCCTCAGGATTTTACCTGCATAAATGGTGTTCAAACAACAATATCATTCTTAAAGGCATTGTAGATAATAAAAAGGCTAGCAATGTCAATTTGAACGAATCTTCGTATAATAAGGTGTTGGGAATTTCATGGAATTCCAATTCAGATAATTTTCACATGTTCATACCTCATCTTATAAAGCCCTGACAAAGAGACAGGTTCCTTCATGTATTGCTCAAATGTTCGACCCTTTAGGGTTTATTGGTCCAATTGTAGTAACAGCAAAAATCTTGATGCAAAAAATTTGGTTAAGCAAAATTGGGTGGGACGAACAGTTGCCCCAAGAATTGCAACGAATATGGGACAAATTTTCAAAAAATACCTCAAATTTGTCATCTCTGTCTGTCCCACGATGGATTTTTTGTTCTACCCCCATTCAGGAAATTCAATTACATGGATTCTCAGACGCCGCGAAATCTGCATATGGCGCATGTTTGTACGTGAGAGTTTTATATATTAATCAATCGTGTTCTTCAATATTATTATGTTCAAAATCAAGAATTGACCCACTCAAAGTCGTCTCGTTACCTCGACTCGAACTTTGTGGTGCTGTTTTGCTAGCAAGATTATTTCATAAAGTTTACAAAGCAATTTCATTAAAATTTGACAAAATTTTATTGTGGACAGATTCACAAATCGTACTGAGTTGGCTAAACTCCGATCCTTGTCGATGGACTACTTCTGTAACCAACAGAGTCTCAGAAATCCACGAACTCACTACGATTGCCACTTGAAAACATATACCGTCTTCTGACAATCCCGCTGATTTATTATCTAGAGGGATAAATGCCCCTGAGATAAAATCATGTCAGTTATGGTGGCACGGTCCAAAGTTCTTTCAAATTTATAAATCTACATTTGAAAATCATCCTTCGTCTTTACCTGAAATCATTGCCATTGAAGAAAGAAAGACTACGTTGATCTCTCAAGTAACTTCAAATAGAACCTTATTTATATCCATTTTTTCTAGGTTTTCAAGACTACAGCGATCCTTGGCATATTGTTTACGATTTGTTCACAATTCCAAGTTAAACACTAATCGACTCACAGGAAATTTATCTGTGGAAGAATTAAAAAATTCATTAAGAAAATTAGTCAATTGCGTCCAGGAAACTTATTTTAATCGAGAACTTGCGGAGTTGAGGTCGAAAAATTCATTATCAGAGTGTACCATTCATTCATTGAATCCTTTTATCGATGAATACGCCATATTACGCGTAGGTGGTCGATTAAATCAAGCTGACATAAGTTTCGATCAAAAACACCCAATAATCTTACCATCAAAAATTCATTTTACAAACTTGTTAATTAAATACGAACACGAGTTACTTAAACATGCCGGACCACAAACTGTTTTGGCAAATATTAGGTTAAAATTTTGGCCATTAAATGGTTTGCGAGAAATAAAAAAGGTCATAAGAAATTGTGTCGTTTGTCATAGATTTAAACCGAAACCCACTCAACAAATCATGGGATCACTCCCAGCTGACAGAATATCAATCGTGCGACCTTTCCTTAAAGTAGGGTTAGACTTTGGCGGACCAATATTCATAAAACAGTCAAAGCTTCGCCGACCAGCTACTACTAAATGTTATATAGCTCTTTTTGTTTGCATGGTCACAAAAGCGATCCACATCGAATTAGTTTCCAGTTTGTCAACTGAAGCATTCTTATTAACGTTGAAAAGATTTATCGCTAGACGAGGACAACCGTCAATCATTTACAGTGATAACGCTACCAATTTTAAAGGAGCTCACAATCAGCTCAATGCAGTATACGAATTTTTCAATTTACCAGGAAACCGTAATGCTATTCAGAATTTTTTGACGTTACGTGAAACTGAATGGAAATTTATTCCCCCAAACAGTCCCCACTGGGGAGGATTATGGGAAGCTGGAATAAAATCGACTAAATTCCATGTTCGTAGAGTAGTCGGAAATTCAAACTTAACTTTTGAAGAACTTTCAACAATATTAGCCCAAATTGAAGCTATCCTAAACTCACGACCAATCAGTTCACTATCAAATGACCCTTCCGATTTTTCATGCATCACCCCAGGTCATTTCCTAATAGGGGAATCGTTAACTTCTTACCCTGAAAGAGACGTTAGTCATATTCCTGATAATAGGTTATCTTTCTGGCAGCGGTGCAGTAGCATTCAGCAACACTTCTGGCGAAGATGGTCAGTTGAGTATCTCCATCGTTTACAAAACCGTCCTAAATGGTCTAAGGTCCTCCCTAACTTGAAAGAAAATATGGTAGTGCTTTTAAAAGAGGATAATGTGCCTCCATTACAGTGGCCTATCGCTAGAATCGTTGAAGTAATGCCAGGGCCAGATCAAAAAGTAAGAGTAGTGAAGGTACGAACTGCCCATGGTATTTTTGTACCTCCAATTAACAAAATTTGCCCTTTACCGCAATCTGATATGGTTTAAAGACCAACTTTTATCACTTTGGCGTGGGGAGGATGTTGTAAGTTTAAATAAATTCGCGGTTTATCTATCGGATAGGTAGAGCGAGTCCTCGGCCTCACTGCGGTTAAGCCTATCTAAGGTAGTAATATGATTAAAAGTAAAGCAAGCGTAGAAAAACGCATGTTCTCAGATTTACTACTGTCAAATAAGATAGAAAAATTCGTACCTATTGTCAAACCAATACTCAAGTATTACAGTGTTAATAAATTAGTGTTCAGTTCAATAACGGAGTAATTATTCCCCGGGAATCCGTCTCCAAAATACAGTCCACTAGAAGTAGCCCTTGCAGAGCCCACACCCACATTATCTCCACAATTATCGTTGGCAAATTCTTCAGGGAATTATTTTTTATGCAGATAGATTGCGATCGTCATCTATGCAAAAATTCTGGGTGGTTAACCATTGGGCATAGTCCATCCCTGGCATTCTAGGCATAATGAAGTTTCGCTTACAACATCAAAAACAAGCTGTAAGCACGTGTTATTGATCCCCAAATTTGCATCAGGCTGAAGATAATAGTTTAGAGACTGTAAATAAAAATAACTTTTTGATTGTCACCTTTGAAGGTCCGTAACTTGTTAACGAAGGCCCGTATAAGAAAATGTATATGAAGAACTGATATTATTTTGACCTCATCTATTTGTACACGACTTTTTTGTATCGTTTACCGGGACACCCGGTATATGAAAATATGCATAGCAGAATAAAGAACATATAATATTTAATGTTTTAAAACTAAATTTATTTTATTGCAGCGAAGTAATGTTGTTAGAGCAATGATTAGTAAATCATGTAACTTTTTTGTTATTTTATCTAAAGATCAAAAATAAACTGTCTCTGTTTATTTTACGTTGTAATAAAATAAAAAATTATAAATTGTTATGAACTCACATCTCATTGTTATTGTTTCGATAGTAAAATTTGCAATTTGTTCATTAACAAGTGAAGTCTCCTTTTAGTGGGTAAGGTTGAAAGTATTTCAACGCAAAAACAAAATTATTTTTCAATTTTAGTAATACTAAATTGTAGGTATGTATTAAGTTTAATACGAATAGTTCATGTCAATTAATTTGAAAAATAATTTTATTTAATAACATCTAAGCCCTTTAACGACTCCACTGAGGTTTAGGAATTTTCAATTGATAGTATCAACCATGTAGGTATTATCGGTCACATGGCTTGTAATCATTTATGGAAGCTCCGTCCCTCGTCGCATTTCTTAAATAAATTGGGCAGTAGTTGGAACAGGAGCAAATGTTTCGAAAAAAGTTTTCTTTAAAGCCAGGACAGTTAGTACCTGTTCCTACAAAAACATTGCTCCGGCCATCCACAGTGGAATAAAGAAAAACTTCAAAGGAATGTCAATCTTTTTAATTATATACATTTTTTTAAATAAAAAAATAAATATGAAATCACAATTTTTTACAGATATCAAATTTTCAGAAGACATATTATAAAGCATAAATAAAATTGTATGTATACTTAGCAGAAAAACATTCTGAGATGACTGCACGTTTATTTTTTGCATGATTTTGAAATAAGTTTTACCAAATTTTGCACAAACAACTTAAGGACGTCCTCCCTCTGTTTTCCGACATCGATGACTTCTTCGTGATTAGGATTATCTCTTATCTCATAATCAGTTATACACATATTAGTAATTAAACTAAATGCAAGGACGGTTAAATTGCAGTGTCTGGCTGTTATAACTTCATGAACGGTTGACATGCCAACTGTGTCAGCCCCTAACATGCTCAGCATCCTTAATTCCGCAACTGTTTCAAAGTTGGGACCGCCTAAACAAGTGTAAACGCCTTCGTGGATAATATCCTGCATCTTTAATTCTTTAGCAACTTTTTTTGCCTCTCTGATTAATTCCCTGCTATAAGCCGTGTTCATAGGGGGAAATCTCGGACCAAAACGCTCGTCGTTAGGTCCTTGTAGAGGATTGTTTCCTGCAAATCCCATGAGGTTAATATGATCTTTCACTAACATTATATCTCCAACTTTGAAATTTGGATTTAAGCCTCCTGCGGCGTTCGTCGCAATCAAATGAGTCACCCCTAGGAGTTTCATTACCCGTACTGGCATAGCGCATTTCCACAATGGATATCCCTCATAGTAATGAAAACGACCCTTCATGCACACGACAGGAACTCCGGATAAGTGACCGAAAACTAATTTTCCCACATGCCCTTCTACCGTACTTCTAGGAAAATGCGGAATTGATTCGTAAGGAAACTCTATTTTCCCATCCAGAGCGTCTGCCAAGCAGCCTGCAAAATACAATAGTATAAATATAACATTTTTTTATTGTCTTTAAAATTATCAGTGTGCATGATGATGAAAAATTAGAGAAATATCGAGTATCTAAGTGTTATAAGAAATTCTAAAGACGAGGCGTTACAAAAGAGTAACTCAAACAGCTAACCATAAATTCATTGAGCAAAAAAGAATTTAAAAAAATTAAATTTTGCACTGACTTTTATCTCAAGCCGCCACATTTTTTATGTAATTTTGGTATAAAAAATAGAAATCCTTAAGAAGAAGAGGGAGATTATAATAGCGATCGTAATCGCATTTTTCCTATGCTTGTCTATAGTTCAAGCAAACGTATTGTTTTTTAAACCAAGCATTCCTTTATTTAATTTCTTCATTCCCGTAAAATTGACACCTAAGCTGTTTGCCGATTATAAATACCAGAGGTTTAGGCTAAAGCGAATACTAATACAAGATATTGCAATTTCTTTGGATACGAAATGACAATTCTCATAACCCTGTTTGAAAGTTAGCATTCTTAAAAGATAATGGTGTATTTTTAAATATCGACTTTAGAAAGAATTTTTGTTAAAAGTCTTGTTTAATTAATCTTGATCTTAAAATCTTCTTTTTTCTTGAACATTAAATTTTTTGGCAGTTGAAACCCCTTGGATAGACTGATTAGTTGATGATTAAATTTTACATAAGGAGCTGAACTGAATCAAATTTGACGTGTATAGCTTCAATGGTTCTTGAATTTATTCAAAACTGTTTCAGATCTAATATTTAATAGCCTAAGCTGGCGTGATTTTTTTCCACCACTTGTACCAAAGGATAAGCACATTAATGTTGAAATATTGTTTAAAGTCAACAAATATCGCTGCGTCTGCAGTTGCAAACCGGCAGCTTTTGGCCGGACGGGACGCTACTACTCAAATTTGTTTTTTTTTTCAAAAACTCCTTGATTTGTACCACCTGAAACTTAACATTCAATAATAAGAAAACTAAATATTATAGACCCTGAAATAAAAAATATAAAAATTATTTTCTAATGGCGTGTCTACAAACTTGTTATGTTGCATTTTTTAATTTATAATCGCCTATCTAAAATAAGTTAAAACTTATACGAAAACCATACTTCCAACGTGTGCATTTTTTTGCGAGCGATACGATGTTCGCGGCGAAACCTATTATTGACTGTAATTAAGAAACGCTACCGATTTTATTGTCTGCCATTACACTTTTGTGGTCAAATTGTATTCCTAAAGCCGAATTTCATAGTCTGCAGGTGGTAGAAATCAAGTTTTTGAAAAAAAACAAATTTGAGTAGCCGTCTCCGGCCAAACGCTGCCGGTTTGCATTGGCAGACGTAGCGATATTTGTTCACTTTAAACATATTTCACCATTAATGTAAGTACTTATCCTTTGGTACAAATGATGGGAAAAAAATCACGCCAGCTCTTATTGGCTATAAAGGATCCTAGAGCCCTTAGGAAATAAAACCATTAAATCGCAGTTTTTGATAAAGATTTACGACTAAAGAATTGTTCAGTTGCGTAGATGTGGTGGATTTCCAATACGTTTCAACCTATAACATTAATTTAAAATTTCTAAATTCTGAAACATTTTTAAGCAAAAGATTTCTTTATTTATTATGATAGCTGATGCAATTTAACTAAAAAGGTAATAATGGCGTACTGTCACATCAGCACAACAAAGAGTTCAGTTATAAAATCTTTTTGTGTTCCATTTCAACGAAACAGTTTAATATCTTATAAATTATTCAAAATGAAAGATCACAAATACCACCACATAATCTTGAGATCGAAGTATGACCATTGGGTCGAATATACTTTAGTATTACGTTATCTAACGTTACTTACTTTATTTGCAAGTTACAAGGTGTATAAGTATTTGCAAAACATCACAAATTCCCAAATGTCTCGAAATATGTTTGGCTTAGATTAATGAAACTTGGGCTGAGGACTTAATCAAATCAAAATGATCAAAATTCACTGAATTTGAATGCAATTATATCATTTACTTGATTCACAATTAGATATATTTTATTTTATTCGAAAACCAATAATTTGCAAGTTATAATTTTTTAAATCTAAAATAAACCTATCAGATAGTTGATAAATCCAAAAATTATCCTAAAACTGTATCTTTTACGAAAACAATGTATGCGAATTTTGTATCTCAATTGCAATTTTAAATAGCAAATTGGTTGGTGGTCGAGCGGCTCGAGGCGTCAATACTTGAATCGATGAATGTCACTGTCGCGGGTTCGATCTTCACGGCCGTAGAGTATATTCGTAGAGGGGAATTAGGCACCCTATCTGCGGGTATGATGGGGTGGAAGAACGTTGGCTTAGCTCAATGTGAGATATTGATATCGGTCGACTTTTGACCACCCCCCTAACTAATGAAATTTTCCAGGTTTCCCTCATTCCTGCAGTGAATGGTGGTTAGGGCTAACGTAAGTCGTCCCTGGGCGCACATGCAGCCCGCTGAATAATAATGTGCCGCCCCCTCTCCCGCACAAGTCTCCAAGTTCTGGGCTAATCCTTGCGATTAGAATGAGGGGTAGAGGTATTATTATATTCAAATTCGCTAGTTTGAATTTCATTTATTTACATGAAACATTTTTCGAGGTATTCCGTAACATATCTTGTAACTGCAAATAAAATAACTTTGGACTAAGGTAGGTATATTTGGTCCAATTATCATATTGTCGTAATCAAAAAACAACAGGAGTTTCAAAAAACGACAAATATATAGGGTATTTATTTAAAAATAGTTACACAAGTTTAGTTTATATCTTCGAAATACAAGTCATATTCTTTATACAGGGTGTCCCGTTCATGTTTCAAAAAAACTTGTGTGCAAGTTCCTTATGGGAAAATAATGGGGGTAGTTTATGTATAGTTTTTTTCTTAGACGCCGTGTTTTCGAAATACAGTGTGTTGAATTTGTTACTTTCCAAATGGTTTTCCTTAATTATCTTTAAATCGGCTAATGATAAAAATGTCAAACGACACGAGTAAACATCAACTGTGCGTTAAGAATAATGTGCATACGATTTCTTTCTGAAAAGCAGTGTCGCCGATACAGGTAATTGAAGGGGTACAATGGAAGAAAAAATATGTTGTCAAAATTTATTACATTTCTAAACGGTTCTGTAAACTCTAAAGGATACTACAAAAAAGAGATATACTTGTCGAAATTCGGTAGCATGTACCATTTTCGGTAAAAATGAAGTTGCATTTTTTTTTGCTCACATAAAACGGCTCAAGTACACGACGCAAGATAAAGGTTTCCAACCTAAAAGGCATACTACTTTTAAAGGGACGAGCCGGTGGACTATTAATAGGAATTTTGGGAGGCATCAATAATTAGGGGTGTGTCATATTTTTTTTGTGTGTAGGCACGTGTGTAACGACACGCAAGTATACATATGCATTATAAAAAGTGAAGAGTATACAGGTTTTGAAATTATTTTGTCTTGCCACATTATTTTTCTTGTCCCTGAGAAAATTAATATTTTGAAATAAGAATTTGTGTCATATTCTGTAGAAAGTAGGTAGGTAGGTCATGAAGGCAACAAAATAAAAAATATTGTAAACTACAGTTTTATTATAACTTATACAGTTTCGGGAGGAAAGGGAAATATTTTAAGGACGTGTTCTGGAAGTGAAAATAAGTACCTAAATAAGTTCGGCATTATGGGTCCGGAAATGTTTCCTTTCTGAGATAGATATCGAAAGAAATTTAAAATCCGGTTTTTTCTAAATATATCGAAAACGATTTAAGATATTACACTGCCACTGTACTATACACCAAAGCTCAGTGTAATATCTTAAATCGTTTTCGAAATATTTAGAAAAAAATTATTTTTTTTTAAATTTTACATTATCAGAAAGGAAGCATTTCCGGGCCCATAATGTTATGAACTTATTTACTTATTTTGACATCATTTTATAAAAAATGAAAAAACAAAACAGTCTAATAATATGTCCAACCGAATCAATAACGGTTGTAATCTGTTTGGCATAGATGTAACAAGGCGTCCGTCGTATATAATTCACGTCTATAGCGTTCTAAATGTTTTGTATACGTTCCCAGAGTGTATCTCTATTTGGTGGAATATCGTCATACTGTTCATTCAACTGACGTTTACATAAGCCCATAAATGTTTTTTTTATAAGAAGTAATTTCCATTTTATTTCATTGCAAAATATTGATTAGAACCCGAGTTATTTATTTATTTATTTATTCATTCCAAACAGACAAACTGTCTAATTACATGGACAATCATAACATTTACTTCTTACAAATAATGTGCATGACAACAACAGTAACATGAGAACTACAGCAATTTACATCAATTAAACAAATTAATAGTAAAAAAAATATAAAGAAAAAAATATAAAAAGAAAAATATAGGGTGCGAATCAAGGTACATAGCTATAATTAAATAAATTTCGAATTCTATTATAAAATTTGTACATCGAATAGTTTTAACAACAGGTATAAAAAGTAAAAGGTAATGTCTGGCTGTTATATGGGCGAAATATTAAATTTAAATAATGATAAAATATACGAATCATTTATAAGATATTTTAGTATTTTATAGACAAACACTAATGACGCAATACTTCTGCGATTAAAAAGTGTTTTCAATTGAAACTCTTGACTCTTATCACGGAAATATTATTTTTGGGGGTGAACATGAGGGTTAGTTTGCATCCGTTTAAATCCGTTTTAGACTAAAAGAAAAAATATTAATCCTTATTAATATGTATTTACCTTTTTGAAATTAACAATGGATATTGAGCATACAATAATTTAAAGAAACACGTTAACTGACGCACGCTCATTGACAATAGCAAACGAAATAATCTATCTTTGTCATAAGCATACGAGTTGTCCACAACTTCGGTACCTACCATGAGTGCGACAAAGCGAACGTGATTTTTTATCTTTGTCCTGGTAGTGTCGTAGGAGCTAAATAAAATTCGAAATATAAAAAGATAAATAAATTTGTATCTGTCTAAAAAGCAAACGTAAAAAAAAATTCGAAGGTAACTTTTCATTATTTTAAATAATCAATCGAATAGTATAGAAAAAAATTGTTTTAGTTTTGTTACATCATTAAAATTAACGAATAAAAATTTGAAATTGTTATATAACTTTCTAATTAAAAATTAAAAATTATATATATTTCTCTGAAAAGAAAAGTTACATTTTTTAGAGTAGATTGAAAAAAAAACATTGATTGATTACAAAATCATTCATTTTTCTGCTTGTTATAATTTTTTTAAATCTCTGAAATCTTCCCTTATCTTCCAGCCTCCCTAACTCTGTTAATTGTAATAGTACAAGAAAAAGTGAAGAAGCCATTTTTATGTAGAATTGTATGCTTTACAACATTTATAAGGAACTTCAACTGATTTCATTGCGGGCACCTATACAGTGTTCATTAATGGCATTTAATGGCATAAGAATTAATGGCGTAAGAAAAACCAGAGGCCCATTCTGTGGCTAAAATTAAGTAAATTTTGTTAAACACACGTAGATTCTTTCCGAGCCGCAGGGTTTTCAAAATAAAAAAAATAAAATTTTTAATTTTCTTAAATCCATTCAATCTAACTATTCGTAAGTAGGTAGTAGACGTTTCGCAAGATTTATTAACCAGGATGAATCGATTTTTCTATTGTAATGTAAATGCAACTCTTTTAATAGAAACAAGATAATAAAAAATGTATACGGGGTCTGCTATAAGAGTTTGCCGATTAGTCGCGTTTTAAAAATGCCAATCTACCAGGAAAGCATTTTTGTACAAAATCGTAAAATGTCAGATGTGACGGTAAAATATTGCCACACGAGTTTAATGGGAACGCCCCATATAGACAAGCGGTTAAGCCGTCAAATTTCTAACAAAATACGATTCAGATTGGAAACCTTTATCTTGCGTCGAGTGTACATTAACAAAATATTAAATTGAAAGAGGACCTTACCACTGAATGAGCTAAAGACATTTAGCTATCAACAGTATTTGCATTTAAGACTATAATTTTAATTTCTCACGTATCACATGAAACAAGTTAAATTGTAAAACATTTTAAATAAAAAAAAAATTAAATTTATTTTAAGTTTCAGTTTGTTGTAAACTAACATTTAAAAAAGTAAATCAAAATAAACAGATTATGGTAATTAATTAGTTATTATTAACTAATTTTGGATTTTGTAAACTACTACACTACCATTATCTACCAAAATAAACAATTGTTGAATTGACTGAATTGTTGATGGACATGAATGCTAAAAAAAGTTATAAAAACAGAAAAATATTAGGAAACAGACTCGGAGACATACAGAACAAAACAGCTGCACAATTAAATAAATGTGTAAACTCGAAATACTACATTAGATATGCAACTTCATTTTTCTTGAAAATGGTACATGCTACCGAATTTCGACAAGTATACCTTTTTTTGTAGTATACTTTAGAGTTTACAGAACCCTTTAGAAAATGTAATAAATTTTTGACTTTAACATATTTGTTCAATTGTACCCCTCCAATTACCTGTATCGGCGACACTGCTTTTCAGAAAAGGACCGTTTGCACATTATTCTTAACGCACAATTGATGTTTACTCGTGTACAAATTTTGCCATTTTTATCTTTAGCCGAAAGATAATTAAGGAAAACATTTAGAAAGTAACAAATTCAACACACTGTATCTCGAAAACAGGGCGTCTAAGAAAAAAACCTTACATGAACTACCCCTATTATTTTCCCATGAGGAACTTGCACACAAGTTTTTTTGAAACATGAACGGGACACCCTGTATATGTCTTTAAAATCGCAAGAAAATTTCTGGTTAAAATCAAATTAAATTTTATATGATCCAAATAGTCTACAGAATGTGATAAACTGAATAATTTTCAACAGTGAAAGGTAATGTGAATTGTACAATTTTGTTAATAACTCCTTATACAGGGTGTTCCTTAATTAATATAAAATCGTTATTAAGACACGGTGGAAATATTTCTTTTAATAATAAATATAAGCGGTCATTAATTTATGTATGTATATAAATACGTATAAATAATAGCACAAATTTCATCATTGCCCTCTGACACCGAGCTATAGGGGGCACAATAATAAATAATATTGTAAATTATTTCATGATGTAGAAAATAACGCAACATTTCCACATAATTATCTTGTAAATTACAAAACAAAATAATATCTTAATCATTGGTGGTTTTTTAACATTTAACAATTTTTCTTGGACTAAGATAATAAAATATTTCACAATAATAATTTAATGGAATTCTTTTAATAAGCAACACAAAGAGATAAACAAATCAATAACATTTTTTTTTTGAAGATCGAATAAGGTGACTTCCAGAAATAATTCGTGACAAATTTGTGTTTAGTTATCTAGATGCAGATATAACATTTTTCTAATTTGATTTATTCAAAGGTCATAATTTAAGGATTTAAAAAACATATGTAAGTACGTTATTTAAAAAAAAGTACATCGTACATGTACAAAGAGAAAAACATTTTGTTGACAAGTAAGCAGATATTGAATTAGATAATTATAAGTTCACCAACCAATTTTCGACAAGCAATTGATCAAGAAAGTTTTCGGAAATGTACGTAATACAAATATCGTTGCAAAATTTTAATTTCAATGAACTGGTCAAAAAAATAATTCATTAGTCAATTTTAAACATTATTATTATTAGTTCTTTTACTTTTAAAGTATTAATTGTTTTGTCAATATCTAAATATTGAGTATTAAAGAGATCACGATATAACTTCTGTTTCATAATGAAAATTTAAAAAAGATTTGGGATCACTTAGTAAATTAATATTTAATGGCTTTTGGTACCAATTCAGTTTCTAGAATTTCAATATTTGTTTTTATTTTAAATAATATTAAAAATAGGTTAATTATAATTACGTAGTTAGTCTAGCATAAATTGTACCAAATTATTTCAATGTTATGGTGTGCTGCGATTATAATTCGTTGTAGGTGTTGGCCAAGATCGCTAAAAGAAGTAGGTTGCCTACAAACTGCCGATCCCCTCGCACCACTTCCACTCATAAACTCATGAGTGACGTCATTGGTATTATAAATCGAATAGTACGTATTATGTAGATTATGTTGCTCGTTGCTCCTTGTATGCGATAATCATTTAAAACAGCTTCCTGCTTATACTGGAAGTAGGTAAATCATAAAGTTTTAATTTAGTCGCATCTGACCGAAATTATGACTATTTTGTTGCAGCATCGAAAACAATCGATTTACCTAACTACTTAATCATATGTTGCACATCGAATTGTGTTCTTGTTTTTTTTTTACATATTCGATACCTAAATAATGTTATAACTGCAATGTTTAAAAATATCTACTCACGCAAGAACTATTAAAATTATTAATAATTCAAATAACTAATACTGAATTACATGATGGAAATTAAATTTTTAATACGATGACATATTCCCGCCTCAGAAATGCTGCCATACCATTGGACAGCTCAAGGTCAAAGTCTGTAGGCAACTTACTTCCTTAGAGACCTTGGAAGTTGGTAATCTAAAAATTAATTGTGTGCAAATATGGAACGCGTTTTCTAATGTTTTAACGTAAATCACTTTATCGCAAAAAATTATGAATTATAACGAGATGTATGAAATGTGACACCAACCAATATTTAAAATCAAAAATACAACCTTCATCCCAATACGCACCCATGCCAGAGCCACAAATAATTCCTACCATAGGTTTAAATGGCACTTGTTGTCGAAGAAAATTTGCAGTTTCCGTAATGGTTTCATAAGTATACCTGCAAAAAATGTATACATATATATTATGTTAATAGTCAGAATTGGACTTCTTGACAGTTACAGAGAAATCACAATTTAAAATATAATTTCCTTGGAACCCTACTTTATCCAGTGAAATCGGTACTCCAATCCGTCATTTTATTTGCACCCTGTATACCTATATAGGTACCATCTATTATACATATAAATGTTGATGACTTAAAATAATATATATTGTACTTCTTTTTCAAGTTCAGTCAGAAATATCAAAATTTAAATTAATCTGCCTTATTTAATCCAAAGAACAGAAGAATTCTGAAAACTTAAAATATCACGTAAATAACGAAAAAAGAAGTATAACATTTTATATTGCTTGTACAGGATGTTTCTAAATTCTTATCATGCATATTTTATCATATCATATTTTATTTATCATGTTTTATTTTATTTATCATATCATATACAATCATAATTTTTGTCGTATCAAGAAAAACTTATAAAAGAAGGGTTTAAAACCACAATATTGAACTTTTTTAAGAATCTTATATTTTTACAGTCATGAGCAAAACCACACACGATTAGGTACCTATTGTGAAATATTTCTGATCATTTTTATAAAAAAATGATTTGAAATTAAAAGTAGTACTTATTAAAAATGTTGTAAATAAATAGTAACTACATACATTTATGTCACATAATTTTTGTCTGAATATTAATGTATAAATATATAAACATAATTATTAAAAGAAATTTAAAAACTAATGTAAAAAAGTAAAAACTACAAGAGACTCATGCGAATGTCAAATTAGATTGACCTAGTAGTGATTTTGCAATATTTTCTTCGAATAAATTTTTTAATAAAAATTTTCCAATGTCATGACCAAATTATATCGAGCAAAACAACAATAATTAAGTTATAGATGAAATAAGAGAAGAATGAACAATTTACTACCTTTTTAGTTGATCAATCTAATTTAGTTTGAAAAAATAAAATAGAATTATCCTTACTTATCGTTATCTGTATGAAGCACATGGTTTTCAAAAAATTCTTCATCAGTCGAGCCTAATCTTAATTTTTTATCGATATTTCCATTCACTTTATACGCTGTATTCATCATTTTATGGCTTTCTGATATTTTCACAATGTTAAGCTCATACAGTTAACCCTGAAACTGAACTTCATTTCCCCATTTAAGCGCTTTATATGAGAGATAAAAAACAAAAACATTAATTTACGTGATAAGAGGGGATAAAGTGTGAAACGTCAAAAACATTGCATTATTGTTTATTTCTTCCATTAGCTTCTTTAAAATATTTTGCATTTGCTTATCTAAATAGTTTCATAATTTGACCTACACATAGGATTCCATGAATTACACTGAATGTATGGGATTTTATAAATAGTAGCATCACCGCGATAACAAAAATAAAGATACCTACATCTATATAAAAATACATAATATTGTAGAACACCCGTAAAAAAGAAAGCAAGCACCACTTCTAATCTAATCATATACAGTACTAAGGGACCAAAACACAGAGCGATTTTTGCTCAAATAAATAAAGATGTTGAAATAAAGATTTTTGAAGTTGTAAGAAAATAGTATATTGTTATATTAGGATTAAAAGTGTTACTTTCGTGGCGAGCAAATTTTTTATTTGCGAGACGATGTGTAGCGTAGCCGAGAGGATGCAAAATTGTGAGACAAAAAAGACACATTTAATCCGAATAAAACATGCTATTTTTTCTCGAATCGAAATCCTCCATTTAATTATTAATTTGTGCTTTGAAATTATTCAAACCAAATTTGGATAATAAAGCAAAGTAAGTAGGATATATCGATGTAGTCATGGATACTTTGTCAAGCATTAGTCGCCATATTGTTAACTGAGTTCATTTATGATTGTTTCTGATTCAGTTTGCTGATAACTCTGTAAAAATGAAATCTAATGAAGATTGAAATGTACGTAAGGAAATACTGGATTGTGCGAAAGAGGTTTCTTTGAATCTTCTCCCAAAGAAATCTCGAGAAATTTATATGAATGTGTCTACCAACGTTTTATAGATTGGTGCAAAGAAAAAACATTAAGATGTATTTAGAAGATGTATTGATGGTGTATTCCTCAAATAAAATGAAGACATCAACGCTTTGGTCACAATATTCTATGTTGCGGTCAACTTAGGATATAAAGAAGGGGATTCATATAAGCAAATAATCAAAGTTACGTGCTTCTCTCAAGAGACAAAATGAGGGATATGTAAAAAATAACGAGAAGCAAGGAGCAAGTTGATTGCTTTTTGAATAGTGCACCTGATAATTTATACTTGATGATCAAGGTAAAAACTTTAAAAATAAAATAATAACATTTTTAAAAACTTCTTTATAGGTCGTCCTTATATTGGGGTTGCTGGTGTATGCCGCTCTGATGAATTAGTCAATTTAACAATTGATAATGTTGAAGATGTGAAATCCACCTTAATTATAAAAATTCCCAATACCAAAACCAAGAGACCACGTTCTTTTACTGTGGTGGGAGACAATTATTTAAGTTTTTATCGAAAATATGTTGCTTTACGTCCACCCGGATTGGTAGAACGTCGATTTTTTAGTGAAATGGTGGTAGGTATTCATAAAATCAGTACCGTCTCTCGGTGGCAAAATTTTGGAAACTGGACAACTGGAAAGAGTACAGTGGACGTAACACGCGTTACGACGTCTGCTACCTTTTTAGTTGACGGCAGTAGTGACCTCACTTGTCTTCAAAGAAGATGGAGATCGGGCACTGTGGCGGAAGGCTATATTGAAGACTCACTTTTGAATAAAGAAAATATTGCGAAAATAATACTGAAAGTTGATTGTGATAATGATAAACCAAGCACCGTTGACATTTCTGATTTCACAACATCTAAAAATACTTAATATAACTATTAATGAAAACGTGTTGGACTATTTTGAGAATTATTCCAAGAATGAGGATAGTGACAGTTTCAGTGGTCGATTTTTGTTTATAAATAAATTAATCTATAATAAATCCTCTTATTATGACCCAGGAGTTTGTGGCTAAGGGTACTCCCAACCATTCTAGGGTATTAGAGTCTACGCTTGCACATTTCTCCCTGTTAACCACGACAGTTTAAAATTTGAATGTTTACAAGTCACGTGACCATCGAACATAGGCAACCAACAATTCGTGGTTGGTAATATCAACTGAAAATCCCTATCCCTCACAAGAGTGGTTGAACGGGTTATATAATTAAATAAAATTATTTTTTTAATTTTTTGTTTTTTCGTTGGAATATTTTTAACTTTATTAAAAGGAGAAAACTATCAAACTTCACTTATTAATGAACAAATTGCAAATTTTTACTATGAAAGTAAAAACAACATGATGTGAACTAACAGTATACTATAATCTTTTATTTAAGTACAGAGTAAAATAAAAATAGACAGTTTACTTTTGATCATAGATAAAACAGCAATTCAAAAAACTTACATTAATTTACAAAGTATTACTCTTTGATGCAATATAAAATATATTCAAACTCATTTAGTGAGCTATATTGCCATATTTGCGATAACATTACATATTATGTTCAAATTGATGTAACAAAAGCCGGGATACGTGGTAATTTATTTGTTAGTTCTCGGAACGTATGGGCCAAGAAGTAAAGTATTTCAGTCAACACTAATTTATCGGAAAGTTAATGGTTTTCAAGTAGGTTTAACGTCGCCAAAACCGTCCTTCGGGGAAGGCTTCACGAAATTTAGCAATATTTTTTAACAAGTTCACTTAAACTGTCGGGGCCATGTGTTGAGCAGGTATAAAGAGAAAAATCGATATTTCAAATAACGCGCAAAATGCATTCCAAAGAACGTAGGAATTCAAAGAATAAGTTGTTAGAATGTTGTCAGGAAAATAATAATAGGTCAAATAGCTGGTTTTTAGGCGGATTTTCCAAGCTGTAAGAATAGATTAAATGAGAAGGGACTAATCCGTCCCGTATTGCTATGCGGAGTTACAAGAGGAAGGTATAGGGTTGTTTGTAAGTTTAGTCTCAAAATTATTTAGACAAATGTAAATTCAGCCCATTAGACAATTATTAACATGGCATAGTTATTCCAAAGCGTCCCGACATTCAGGGTTCCCGCCAATAAGATAAGAACAGAAACTTCTGGACCCAAGAAATGGGCGTGTCGAAGTGAAGTGTCGAATTCAGGAGAGATCTACGAAAAAGAGGCAGTTCTTCCTTGGGTTTCACATTGAGCAGTCTACTTAGTTTTAGAGTCTCGGGTTAATTTAATAATGGATAAAGTTAAAGTCATTCCAATTTTTGCTATGGATCGCCCATTCCCTGATTCTCGGTCCGCTGTCGCGTGTCAATAAATTAATTAATAATGTTGTTCGAACCCGTTGTGTCGTTATTTTGTTTGTTTGTTCTGTTTTTATTGTTATTAAAACTATTCATGGAAGTTTTGGTGTTTCCTTTTGTTTCTCCCAACTTAAGTGTCACCCTGTATAGCCAGCCACCGGATTACATTCTACGTAAGCAACAGAGGGTAAGTGCCTAAAATTCAATCTCTGAACATACAACATTTCTAAGTCCCACGTATCTATTAATTAAAGTATAATGATAATTATAAACTCCCTTTCGAGAATTGAATAGTAAACTCTTTTCAAATCCAGACTCGTTATGATACTGGTCATAACAAAATATAGATAATTAAAGAAATAATCTCTCAAGTTACAATGTCCTTCACTAGCTATGCACAAATTTACTCTCCTGTGCATATTTTCATATACACCTTGCAGTTGGTGTATGTAATATTGTTAATTTCTTGCTTCTAATTCATATTGTGCGTCGTTATTTTTATATAGAAAATAGAATTTTTCAGATATCCAAACAAAAAATAATCTAAAGGAGCTAGATCCGGTGATCTCGCTGGCTACAACCGTCGATCAATTAGTCGATTATCATAAAACTCTTCCAAAAATTGAATTGTTATTCATGCAGTATGTGCAGTTGCTCCATCTTGTTGAAAGAAACGTATTTGTAGTTCATCATCATGTAACTGTGTTCTATAAGATAAGGGTTTGATATATTTCAGCATTTATAGTTTCGTAGAAAAATATAGGTCCTATTATGACTTCTTGACATAGCTACCCAAACGCCTACTTTTACGGCATGTTCTATGAGATTCTATAATGTTGCCTATTTACATAACTTAATATGTGTAACGAGTGAAAAATGACAACAAACGTTTTCTATATACCACTTACAGTACTGTAATCGTCTTCGATAATCTGTGGGAAGTACTTCCTGCACAACAGTTGCCTTGTGTGGGTGTAAATACAGTTGTGTTTTAAAACTTTATGATATGTTCCAACTGAAAGCCCTAAAATGAAAATTTTAGGATATTAACTATATCTCAACTCAATCTCAAATTCAAATAAACATTTCAAAGTTAAAATATTTTAGAGGCAGAGATTAAATTTGAGCATATTTGCACGAATTTAACAAACAAAATATACCTGTTTAAGCAGACAACTTTGATTTGGATTTTGTATTTATTAGTTGCTGTAAGTACAGTTGGTCTGTCCGTAGATGTTCCTTTGCAAATGCAGTGTTTGGTTTTGAAATCTTTTGAAAATAGTACATTTCCGGTTTAAGTTATACAGTCAATGTTTGCGTCTAGAAATTCCGTCATAAATTGTTCGTTGCAGGACTGTAAAGAGTATGTCCATAACTCGACATAAAGCTGGGACAGCTTTATGTCGAGTTCTGCGAAAACGAGCCATTACAATACAGGCATCTTGTTCTGGATAGGTAAACTGCATAATGCGTTCTGAAATAAAAATATTATTAACTTCAAAATGTTGTTTCTGTTACAATTTACCAGTAATTCGACGAAACGCTAACAAATTTAGCTGTGAAAACAACTGATTGATTTGAAATATGTACGATATTAATATTAAAGCAAAAAAAAAAGGATATCAGTCAATGAACTCAAACGATAACATAACAGGCACGGATGACGGACGCTACTGAGTAATGCTCAAATGTCATTTTAGCGTCGTCAGTCATAATGTTACGTTTACAATAAACAACATCAAACCGTTGCGTCTATGCTCGAGATAATCCGATCACAGGTTGGTTAAATAAAATCATCAGCCGGT